CAACGACGTTTTCACAGGATTACTGTCCTTAATTCGCAAATCTCGGACTGGGCTCAAGCATGAGTCTTGAAGCCCCGATTGGACACCCTGAAGTGTGTGTCGTCGTGCACGTGCACCGTGCGACGTGTCTCGTCATCGATCCCTTTCGAAGCCGCGGCATTTATTGATCTCTCATACAGTTATATGAGCACTCCATATGATCATTTGCGTTGACTTTCATAAATCATTATTCCATTATTTTATATCTGTAGCATATCTCTTGAGCCCGCGGGTACGTAGAGCGAGACCGCTTTGACAGCGAACTCGATTCGCTACAGACATCACAATCGAGACGGATCACAAGCCGTTGGTGCGCATTTTCGAGAAACCGCTCGAAAAATGCCCGAAACGATTGCAGCGGATGCGTCTCGCCCTACAACGATACAACCTGAAACTCAAACGACAGCATCATCTTCATAGGGTAGGCGTGCATCATTCCTAAAAGTTTGAGGAAGGACATGCTACGGAGATGCCACAGGTCTCATCTAGGTTTCGAAGCCACATTCCGTCGGGCCCGACACGTGGTAGCTTGGCCAGGCATGAGAAATGATATCAAAACGATGGTTGAGGCTTGCCAATCGTGCCAAACGTTCTCCACCAAACAACCCAAAGAAAAACTCATCAACGGCGAAATTCCCAAACATCCATGGGACATCATTCACCAAGACCTCTTCGACTGGCAAGGGCAACAATATGTGGTCACCGTAGACGGCTACAGCGACTATTTCCCCATAACGAAATTAGGCCGTACAGCGACCACAAACCACGTTATCGATGTCACGAAGAAACTCTTCGCGGAGTATGGGCGGCCAAGGGAGTTCAGGACAGACAGCGACCCCATATACCTTTCCGGAGCTTTCCAAGAATTTCTCAAACAATGGAAAGTTCAGCACGAACGGAGTTCACCACATTTCCATTCAAGCAATGGAAAGGCAGAATCAGCTGTCAAGGTTGCGAAACGATTGGTCAAGAAAACCACGCTCGAACTATCGGACCTCGAGCCAGCGCTCCTGGAGTGGCGAAACACTCCTCAGCGAGATGGGCTGTCGCCGGCGCAGAAATTTCTCTGTCGACAGACTCGACCTCTATTACCGCTCCAAGCGGCCGCTCTCCTTCCCAAAGTACCGAAACATGTTCAGCAACACATAAGACAGCGGAGAGCGGAACAGAAAATTCAGCACGACAAAGGGGCAACGAATCTTTCACCGCTCCTAGTTGGAGACTCGGTTCGAATCCAACCCCTA